GGAAAAGAAGAGCCGCGTTATCGAGTAACCCGCGTAATCGTTATTACCGCGGTGCGTTTACGCGAGCAGAATGATGACGAGAGGGAAGTTTTCTGCAAATGTCACGGGAGAAGACCCGTACAGGGCTGGCCACAGCTGTTTCTATAAATAACCACCCCCGACTCGAACGCTCTTGCAGATTCTGCATCTTCTCTCGAAACCGCCTCAGCGAACTATGGTTATTGACCCTCACACACGCGGCCGCCGTCAACTATTTCCGTTCGAAAAATAATGAACCGCGGATCTCGGCGCATAATTTCATCCGGTAATGAGCCCACTCGCGAATTTCTACGCGTCTGCTTGATTTACGACGCGAAACTGCTTGGTATGAAGCGTGACTTGACGATTGACACTTTCGAACTTTTAGCGCAGTTACGGAGGGAAACTCGATTCGGGGATTTAGGTATTGGGAAGTTATGGGATTTGGAGATGTGACTTTCAAATTTTGGGATTACAGGAGGTTAAGAGACATGAAATGTTGGGACTTTGGGTTATGTAGGAGACTGAAACTTTAGGATATTGGAATTTTGAAAGATTGGGATACTGGGTTACTGGGACATTGGAACTTTTGAACATTAGGCTTGTGAGACATCAAGACCTTACAAATTTGGAACTTTAGGACTTGCAGACCTTTGAAATCTTCAGACCTTGGATTCTACGAAAAATTCACATCATGACGCCTTAGAATTTTACAAAATTCTGACGTCATCACATTAGGTCATTGAAACTTGGTAATACTCGAACTTTGAGCCTTATCACCTACATAGCCTACCATGAGACTTTGAAATTTCATGACATAAAAATTATGAATCTCCAAATCATTAGAACTTCGAATTTCTGGAATATAAAGTACGAAAAATAGTAACCTTTCCCCACAAAAATTTCCAGAACCCTAAAATTTCAGTAAAGATTATGACCGGAAACTTAGCAGTTAATATACGATTGTGATACAGTTCCAGATACGAGATAAATATTTCTAGGAACATTGCGTCACAACGAAAGAACAGTAACACTCCGACGACCGGATGCAATTTGCGGTTTCTTTCGGGACACTACACTCGCGTGACGGCGAGATCAAAGACTCGTTAACAACGTGTTGCTTCGTGCAACTCTGTTGAAACGGAGTCTGAATGATATCCATCGATCGGAAAGATTGATCATCGATAGAAAACATTTCGCTTCTATCCCTATTGGTAGCCACAAAGTCGATTCAAATAGTGTGGAACACTTGTTACTCCGATTATGAATCATAAACTGAATATCTGATAACATTTATTACGATGTATGACAGTTTTCTGATGGATTTGTGGAGGTAAATGTATGGTTGTAACTTATACTGACAGGTAGACGATAAAACACTAATGAGTTAATATATCATGGATGATTAAACGAGCAAAGAAGTGCTTCTGCTGGATGGCTAACAAAAACTAGTTGGCAGGTTGCAGAAAGATACTTCTACTTCTCAATTTGTGAAATATCCTCTGGACTTTTTATCTTTGCTCAAGTACATAGTTATAATGTGAACAGTACCTTCTAATCAATAATGTGCATACTTTTCAATTAGGTGGTATGTGGAATTTCAGTTCAAACACAGTGAAATGGAATTTCTTTTTTTATTCTAACATTTTTGTAGACGGCAAATCATAATCTGGTCATAAAACTGAATATACTAATTTGCTAGTGAATTTAGAAAATTTGACTAAGTGATGTGAGCTAAAAGATTAATGATGTAAGACTGATATCATAATTGCAAGAAAATATAATAAAATTAAAAATATCAGGATATTTATGTTATGAATACAAAACTGCATCTTAACTTACTCTCTATTGAAAATCATGCACCAGTTATTACAAACAAAAGTGTTTGAAAATCACTTGTATTTACTCCAGATGAAGTGTACCCTCTGGCAGTTTGAAATGGCCCATCGGAGTTGTAGGATATCGAAGGAAGAAACGGGTAATCGTATCGACGCACTTTGCGTTCGATACTGCAATCTCTGGTGGACGATCGACAATCCGAGATTCGGGGAACGAGTCGTTGCATCGCGTTTTATGGCGCGTTTTACTCCGGTGTGCCTGACCATCGCTCTTCTCTCTCGTTCTCTCCCTCCGTGTTCTCTCCTCCTCTCCTGTCGATCCGACCGTCTCTTTCGCCGTAAAGGAGGCTCGAGCAGCGGTGCAGGGTCACGGCCGGACATCGTCTACCATACTCTCTCTCGGGCTTCTACACCCACGCTACATCTGTTACACTCGCCCCCTTTCGTTCGCTGCACCCTCGTAAAGCCTCGTTTCATTATGCTCCGAATATAAGTTACCGCAATTTACGCCTCTAGCTCTCGTTTCGCGCGGGCTTTTCTACCCAGGCCGTGGCAACTGTAACGAGCTGGATTTTCGTAGCTCGCTCGGGAAAACGTGTAACGAGGAAACTTCTGAACACCTACTCGACTCTTTTCAATTATCCCTTTTTGCAAGTTGAAAGAAACGTTCGCGTTTTCAATGTAGCCAAGCTTTGAGACTTTTTCATTCGTCACGGAGGCTCGGTGAATGGCGGCCGTGGAAAGCGATGCGAGGCTAACGATCATTTGCCGGTATGCAAATTAATTGGTCAATGTACGAAATTGAGGGTTCAGAAATGGGTTTCTGAGTAATCCTCAGTCTGGTTTCATCGCGCGATTGATGATTCTTTAATATACACTTATTGCGTCAATGTGTGATTATATGGAATTTTTTTGTATCTGTCATGTGCAAATATTCAACTTTACTAAATGGTTAACTGTTTTTTTGTACTACATACTTTCATTCGCTTCACAAGTGTTTTATGAAACTGTTGAACTTTGTTGATGGTTACGTTTATGACTTGCTACGTCTCACTGATCGTATATTAATTATTTTTATTTGATTTTCATATATAATTGGTCTAGTTAAGTTACTTGTACTGTTAGCTTATTATCAATGTATTCAAAAATTATCTTTCTTAATTTTAAGTATGGAACATTAGTGACTATGGTAGTCAAGGCGATCGTTATGACTTAGATTTTCAGCATCTGTCAAAAAGCATAGAATCTTGATGATTTTTTACAAATATCCAACGTACTGATAAAACTGATACAAAATATAAAATGTTTCATCATTAGCCCTATGACTGGTGTCACACTCATGATTCCATGTATGTGAATTTTTACATCACTGTTCTTTATTTATATTTACGGTATAAATTTGAAAATGATAGAATGTAGTAATAATTTCATTGTATATAATAAACAAATATTTTCTAAAATATGCGATTGTTAAATACGTGATAAAATTCTGTCATTTTGCCTTGCAGCATAATATATCGTCTAACACTGATTGTCATGAAACAATCACTAAAAATTTTACAAGAACACTTTGCTATCAGCAAATTTAGCATACGACAGTCAGAAATTCGCCCAGACTGACAAAGTTCGTGTAGTCAATCTTCTGTCAGATAATAAAAGTGCAAAACTACAGAAGTTCAGTGATGTTAATTATTAACTATGTTACCCAAAGCAGTCATGCATTCGATATAATTTTATAAGAGAGAAAGAGCACCGGAAAAGTGTTAATAGAAGCGTGAATATCAAAAGGTCGGAAATGAGTTTTCAACTACGCGTCCGAAACTATGCAAAATTAGGAGGGGTCCAGGTGTCGAAATATCTCGCAACGATCAAGGTAGACCCCGAGATGTTTCGACGCTGACTCACAGGACAACGACCGGTGTCAAATGTATCAGGATTTTCGACAAAATCGTGCAACCAGCTCGACGAGGGCCAACGACCTTAAAACGAAACGATCACGCGAGTTGCAAGATTGAACGAATACTTTCGCGAATTCTGCGTCACGCGATTCCGTGAATTTCACGCTCGCAATTACCTGAGGATGACGCTTGGAATGCTAGACGTTCTCCCGTGGAAAGATGCGTTGTGTATCTTTTACCTTTCGTGATCCAGAAACTGGTCCGCGTTGTTGCGCGCGACAACCACGTGTTGCACTTCTAGTCGATACGCACGGAGCGTGCCGTGGAGCATGCTACTCGAGCGTACTAAACGCGCCTCCCCCGTGTGAGTGGTAATTAATTGCGTGGCACGTGACAATTTTAACGTAAAAATCAGTTTATTGTATACAACAGAACTCTGGTAGTTTCTTGTGTACAAATTAGTAAGTCTTCAAGTGAGGGTAACAAAAAATAAATTACATTATAAGAAATAAATAAATAAGTAGATGTTAAACTATACAAAATAAAAGGAACAATAACGTTTTGATTCTATTTCTTCCATCTCCTGTCGAGGAAATTTACAATCACAGTTCATAAAATTACGTCGCGAACGCGGATTAACAAACTACTTATCGAGCAAGTACTAACCCTCCGCAAGTAGAGTGCTGCAAATTTACACCGAATTCTAACAATACAGAGAGATGTCACTAAAAATAACCGAACAAAATAAAACTACGAATAAATACTTCGATTATTTGAGAATGTGAAGTGACACGCCACCGGTTAGCGTATGAAGTCTGCGGAGGGTTAATCTACATCTAATATTGAAATTAATGTCATCGTCGAATGACTACGGTAGCCACAAGCATTCTAATTCGACGAGCAGCCCTCGCAGAGAGCAGGTAAATTCTTTGTGACGGCGTCGTGATAGTCATGCAAACGGACCTAAGCACTCCGCCGAGTCTTCTACGTCTTTCTGAAAAGCCGTCAGGACTTTTATCGTAACAGATAAACTTAGGTACCCTAACCGAAAAGCAACGGGGAGAAAAAAAGAGAGTGCACGTCACACGTGATCATGGATCGAGACGGGATTCGAGCTGGCGAAATTCATTTCCACATAGTCTGGGTCAGATCGTTCGTCGTGGCAAGCAGTTCGACAGCCGTGCAAGGACGCGTAGGAAGGCTCCGAGATAGGTGAGAAGAAGGATTAATAAATCGTTGAACTCACGATTTCGGGATGGATGTTGGGCCGTCCTGCTTCGTAGGACCTGTTGCAGAGCTGCGTACAGGTCGAGCATCAATTGCTCCAGCTGCTGTCCCTGGGCTTCCGCCTCGTCGTCGGACGGCAATGCGAATGGGATCGCCATTTCTTGATCGTGGCAGGTGCACTGGACTTCTGTTTATCGATAGTTCGTTGGCTAGCGCTGTTGGTTGCTCTCGCCGGCACTGTAATCGAACCAATGTCTGTGTGGATCAAGCACTACCACCTTGTCTCAATTTCTGTCTCTCTCTCTCTCGCACGGAACAATGTTTTCCTAATTTCGATCACCGTGGTCGGAGAAATCGACGGTCAGTATCGCGCGCGTTGAATTTTCGGTGGCGGTACACGTGGCTTTCGACGGCGCACGCTCAATGTTCCTCGCCACACGGATTGTCCATACAAAACGCACGTGGCCCGCGTGCAACGCACCGCACCGCGCTAACTTGGATAATCGCGGCGCGCGAATCTCAAACCGAATCGTTTCCGACGCGTTGTCTCAACAGCGTCGTCTGAAGCGTCTGTAAGGTGGATCCTCGAATGGATCACTTTCCATAGGTGCTGAATATTGGCGGGACACACCTCTGACCTCCAACTCGATCGTGGATCGGAGTTCGCCGAGGGGGCAAAAAGGGCGAAACGCCGGAGATCGGTGAGCAGCGATCGATGACAGGATCGCTGTTCAACGAATCTCACCGATGACAGTTCGAGACAGTACCACGGGCACAGAGTTCAATGTTCTCCGGTCGAAAGCACGGCACACGATGCACTGAGAGTCTCTTTTACAGGAAAGAACTTGTCTCCTTTCGCACGCGGCACAAATGAAAAAACATCCGCGCTTGAAATGGAGTGCGAGAACAGAGAAAGGATTATCTACCGATCCGCACAACGCACGCACGCACACGGCTCGATACGGTGTAACACGTTGCGTCTCGAGACTGTCCTCTTTGGCGCGGCTATCACACACGCGTGTACGATGCAAGAGAGAAAGTAAAGCGACACGAGAACTCGACTGAGCTTAGGGTAACGAGAAACACGTCTCTACTCCTCGAGGTCTGGCGTGGTAATGATTCTGAACTTTCGTTTCGGCCGCACGTTCTGCCTCGCGGCGGCAACCGACTTCCCCCACTCTCGAGTCCTCGCGCGGCCGGTTGGGTAGGTGGTGGGGGAACGATGCGCGCGCATCCGGACTCGAACCGACTATACGGGAGGAAAAGGGCGATAGAAACAACCACTGGTGGGGCCGTACGTGTGCCCGTGGTCGCAGCGTTGTAAATTTACCGGTTAGGGTCAAGTGGGGTAAAAGAGATGGGACGAAAATCGAAAACTTTGGAAATCGACCCGGTACAATGCCCCCTTCAAGGTGTCGACTAAACGGCCTGATCTCTTCGTCGACCGGGATTTTTACGAGGAAAAATCTCACGCGTTTTTACCGATTCGTAATACACTTTTATACCGCGACTCCTTTTTGTCTATTTCGCTAATTGGCTCGCGGGATAAAAAGAACACTCTTCGGAGCATAAAAGATTTTTCCTCAAAGCGAAGGCGAAACGTGTAGCATGTAGCAACGAGATCTCGACTGCGGAGAGAGTGAGAGGGAACTTACACAGGCGAGTGGCACGCTTGTATGCACTCCGAAGCGGTTCGTGGAGGCGCGTATGACACGACGGAACGACACCCGAGCGTAACTGCGTAGTTTCTGCGAACGACTCCACGGGGGTAGTTGAGGAGCGGTTTCGCCGATACGCCGCTTTTTACCAGGCGAATTATCGACTCAGAAAAGTGGTCGAGAACCCACTCGTAACCCCGTGATCGAGTAACTCGAGTGTCGTCGTTGCGTCACACGAACCACTTATTTTTCGTGTCTTCGAAACGAAATTCGTAGATGACTCGAACGGTGGCGAGCGATGAAAATAACGCCTCGCGAAAATAGAGTTTTAATTCCGCGGTAATTTGCGATAACCGATATTCATGGAATCGCGATAGTTGGCCGAGTGACAACTCTTTATCTGGCCAATGAATGGGTAAACAGGCAAAGAAACGGGAATACACAGTGCGCTTCTACCGTGTCGCGCTGATTCACAATGCACACGATGCACACAGTGCAGCGCTGCGATACGACCTCACATAAATAAATATCGGTATATTACTCTGTGCTTGAGGGACCTTGGGATTTAAAAAAAAATGGAAAAAGGGGAAAAGGAAATCGAAAACCCGTATGTTGGAATACGTTATACACCGGGTGTTATAAATTGCATTTCCATCCAGCGTAGTTTATTTTCAATAAATCGATGAATACATGTACTGATTGAATATTTACGATGAATAACAACCAGGAGTAACTAAATCTACTTTTATAAACAAAATGATGCACATAGATACACAGAAGTTGAAAATATTAAAATCTTCGAAATGAGAAATTTACTGTCCATTACTGTATTCTGGAACAACCAAAATGTACGTTTATTGGAACACACTCCAAATACTCTCTATCGACACCCATAAACCTATGCCCAACGACTTCGACTCTCCATACAGAAATGCACCAAATTTTCAAAATCACATGCACATATCGTACACATAGAGGAGTTTGGTAATACCATTCGTTCAACGATCATGCTATTCCATTCTACTTGCAAGCAGTCGCCAGACAAAGAGTCCTATAGATTCAAAATAGAGTTGCGCGAAATACGTGCGGTATTATGCGAATCGCGATGCACCGATTCCGAGCGAGTCGCTCGAATCGACGAACAATCGTGGACTATCTGCATTCACCGGGGCAAGTTGACGACAGGGCAGGAGGAGAGCAGATTAATGGCAGAACCGGCGTAAAGAGACAATGTCATCGAATACGAAACGAGACGGAGAGAGACAGAGAGAAGTTAAAGGCCAGGCAAATCCTTCGCGTGTCGGGGATGGCGTTACACAGAGATGACATTACCCGGGACGAACGATAGAAACTGGAGTCCACCTCGACGGAGAATACCGCATCGATATCGACAGATCGACGTTTAATGTCGACCCGGAGCCGATAGATCGCGGCAATTTCGCGCGAGCAACAGTCCAGGCAGATGCACACGGTGCCGTTAATCAAATTCGCCCGCGCGCCGACGTAGAAAGATATTAATTGACTGGATGCGAAGAGCGTCGATCGTGAACGTGCACGAGTGCACCGAACTACTTTTCCAACGACGCGTTCCGTCTGTCCCGTGCCGGTGATTTATGGGCCGCGCGCCGATTACATTTCATTCGGGTCTTAATTAGCTGGTAATGCCGAGCTACCGAGTTACCACCTTCGGCTACGCCGCCGTTTCCGAAGGTGGATGCACCGATTACATTGTTCAACAAATTTCAACTTCATTTCTCAGACACACAGAGACAAATCTGATTCTGAACTTGCAAATGCTTAAACCATTTACTTCTTAACATGAACTCTAATATTAATAAACTAACAAATTATAGACTAAGATATCATACTAAACAGATTGATACTAAAATACGAGTTTAGAGCTTAAAATGTCAAGTAAAATTTTTCGAAAATTTTAACTCTTTTTCAAAATCACCAAAAACAAAATGTATGCTTTTAATGTTATCTTAAAACTTCAATATTATCGAAAATATGAAGAGCTAATATTAATTTTACAAAACACAGAACTACTCTGGTATAGTGTTAAGACTTATAGGTAACTAAAGGTACTAACATTTTAGCCGACGCCACTTCACTCCAGATGACTGTTTCTTTCTGAACATGCAGTCTTCAAGTACTGCGATAGCGACGGAGACCGTTCGTCGAAGCTGAACAGAATCGAGAGATTATTAGTACGCTTAACGAGCGCATTAAGGTATAATTTTACTGGCTTACCGAGAAACGTGCACGACGAATGTTTCTCTTTGTACCGTGAAGGCTGACTATCGGAGGATTCTACTTGGAATCGTGGAGGAACTACTGACTCCGTTTGCGTGGTTTCTTTTTATAAAGAAGTAACGGTTATCTTATCGCCACAGAAGCAGTGAAGATTTTATCGATCGTACATTTTAAAAAATTACTTCACCATCAATAGAGATCGCGTTACGGATCGTATGATCGGGATGAGTCAATATACAAAATGTGATTTAATGGCAAATGACTTCATAGGAAAGTCAGTATCTTCGTATTATCGCGTGACGAAATGTTTAATCTTCTAATTATCGTGGATATTGAATTACTGGAACTGGACTATCAAAAGATCGTCTTCAAATCTGGTCCGGTTGGTTTGATTTCCATTTTGTTTTAACTGAGTAGATAAAAATACTGGTCATCAAATTGATCATCAAAATTATATAATAGACACATTAATTTAATAAATCCCTTCGCAACTTCTCCTTAATGTTAGAGCTACCTTGACAGAACTACCTTGAAATACAAATTCAACAAGTTGAATTACATATTCAAACGTAATTTTAAACTGAAAATAAGGAAACAAAATAAACAAAATCTGAAACATAAAGTTATATACACAACTTTCCAACTTCACAAAAATCGACCTAAGATAAAAGAACCTTAACAAAAATGTGTAAAGAACCTTAACAAAGTGGTAAGCTATTGTTTAATCTAAAGTGAGCTATTGTTCAACTCACAAACAGCCATTGTGCAATCTGAAGTGCAAACGAATCATTCAATCGTTCGATAGTTACAATGTTAAAACGATCAATAATGATTCAGGAGTCCAATCGTTTAGAAATGTCTGCAGCGTCCTCTCTCGTGTTCCTTCTCTCCTGCACTCCTCGCGAGTACACCGGGCTACTTTCGTTTTATTTCCACGGAAAGTATTGAATCGGTTCCTGGACGGTAGCGTGGCGAGATTTAAAACCGGTAGCACCGTATGCACGGACCGGATTGTATATTTTTAGAACGAGCAGCATCCTCGCGTGGGCGGACATGCTGGTCACCGGTCCAGGAACCTGCGCACCACTTTGTTTCGAACGTGTACAGGCCACTTTTGTCGGGTGACAATCGTTCATCTTTCAACGGGAATTTGTATTAATAACATACTTATTTCTTCTAGAAAGTTCAGCACAATTTGCTTCGTTTCGTTAATGAATTTTCAAGACTCAAATATAATATGTTGTTATATTAGCATGGATGGGATAGTAGGAGTGAAGTCTAAGTCGTTTATAACGATTCGTATTAATATTCAGACATTATATTTAACAATGAGAATTAGAGATATAGTGGATTGGACGACAATTTTTGCTGCTTATATTGAGGGTAGTGTTCGTGAGTGTGTATGGTAGAATGTGGGGCAATATGGAAAGAGTCGATATGATGAGAAAGAGTAAGTGGGGGTTGAACGTGTAGTAATATTCATATGTGATACAACACGTGATAATACAGAGCGTTGCAATATTCATGCGTGGTGACTGTGTAGAAATATTAACTCGTGGTGATTCGATGCGTGGTAATAGTAACATGTGGAGATACAGCGCGTACCAATATAAACGCGTGGTGATTCGACGCATAGTAATATTAACACATGGCGATACAGAGCGTACGAATACTAATGCGTGGTAATTCCACACGTAACAATAGTAACGCGTGGTAATTCCACACGTAACTGTAGTATTGCGTGGTAATTCTACGCGTAACAATAGTAATGCGTGGTAATTCCACACGTAACTGTAGTATCGCGTGATAATTCGGCGCGTGTCGATACAGCGTGCAGCAATATTAACGCGTGGTGATTCGATGCGTAGCAATATCAACGCGTGGTAATTCACCGCATAGTAATAGTAACACATGACGATACAGCGTGTACGAATACTAACGCGTGGTAATTCCACACGTCACAATAGTAACGCGTGGCAATTCCACACGTAACAGTAATATCGCGTGGTAATTTGGCGCGTGACGATACAACGCGCAGCAACATTAACGCGTGGTGATTCGATGCGTGGTAATAGTAACATGTGGAGATACCACGTATACTAATATTAACGCGTGATAATTCGGCGCGTGACGATACAGCGCGCAGCAACATTAACGCGTGGTAATTCGATGCGTAGCAATATTAACGCGTAGTAATTCATCGCGTAGTAATAGTAACACATGACGATACAGCGCGTACCAAAACTAACGCGTGGTAATTCCACACGTAACAATAGTAACGCGTGGTAATTCCACACGTAACTGTAGTATTGCGTGGTAATTCGGCGCGTAACAATAGTAACGCGTGGTAATTCCACACGTAGCTGTAGTATCGCCCGGTAATTTGGCGCGTGACGATACAACGCGCAGCAACATTAACGCGTGGTGATTCGATGCGTGGTAATAGTAACATGTGGAGACGTAATAGTGACATGTGGAGATACCACGCGTACCAATATTAACGCGTGATAATTCGGCG